ATAATACTATCCCTATTCATCCTAAACTCAACCTGCCCCAGCCACAGGTGTGTCCACTTCTGCTCTGGCCTGTCGCCTGCAGAGTCTCCATCCCCGAACCTCTTCCTGGTAACAAGTCAGATTGCTGCCAGGGTGCCTGGGCCCGTCCTGGGCAAACCTGTTTTTCTGGTGGCTACCAAGTTCCGACCCGCCTGTTGGGAACACCCTCCTCCAACCGTGCAGCCGAGCCAACCTCTAACTGCCCGACCCACTCCACACCAGACTTGTTCACGACCACATTCTTACACAACTCGACAACCGAAGCCTGTTCCTGTCCCTTTCTGCCCACTTCTCCTCCCACCACCTCCACTTTGGATCGCCAGAGCACCACTCAGCCCAAGGGCAGCCAGCGGGAACTTCTGGGCACCCTGGTTCTGTGCCCTGCTCACGACCTCTCCCCAGCTCGCAGCCACTGCATTTGATGCACCAGGGTCAAGTCTAGGCTGTGTCAACACCCAGCCCTCCATCACTAGTCCAAGCTTTTATCTCCGTCTCGCTCCTGCTCCCATACAGCAACTCTCATCAACCCAGCAATTTCCAAGCTGTGTTCCGCCGTGCTGGTGCAGTGGGCTCTGCCCTGGGCTACTAAGTGAGTGATCAGCTCAGCTGGCTGGCTCAGGAAGCCCACACAGCTTGCACCCTGAGGTTCGCGCCCAGAGGGTACAAGGCTACTAAGCGCTTGTTTGCTGACTTCTCCCCATTCAGCACCTCTGGGGCTCAGCACTCAACCTGCCGCCTCTGCCAGGCCTCTCTGGGCGCTGGGCCTCTGTACCTCGCAGGCGCTCCCCGGGTTCCAAGTGGCAGGAGAACCCAAAGTCGGAAAGCCGGATCTGCATGTCATTATCGAGGAGAATGTTCTCGGGCTTCAGGTCTCGGTGCACGATGTTGTTGGCGTGGAGGAAGTTCACGGCTTCCAGGAGAGACCTCATGATGGACCTGGGGACGGGGGTGGGGGTGGCACTGTCTCTGCCTTTCTCCTCGCTGCCCCCGCCTGCCGCCCGCCCCGGGTCCACAGGCTCAGCTAGTACCTGGTCTCCTTTTCGGAGAGGGCCACCTTCTCTGTGAGGTAGTCAAACAGCTCTCCCTTCCGCATCCTAGGAGAGAGGAGGTGTGTGGGAGGGGGGTGCACCCTGTAGGGGGCTGCGATGGAAGTCAGTGCCCACGGGGAAGGTCCCCCCACAAAGGGTTGGTGAAGAGATGCCGTAAGGGAGCTGGATGCTTGGGCCGGTGGGGCTCAGGGACCTGGAGGGCTGAAACAGCTGCATTATGCCAGTGTGAAGCCAGGTAGCAAGATGAAATGCTTCTGGGACTATAATTTAGATAAGTGACTGGCCCCTCTGTAAAAGCCCTCTGAAACCGATAGCGATTTATAGGCCAAATAAACACCGTTAATTGTGTGTGGGGGGATGGGGAATAGGGTGTTTGGAAATTATGTTGATGTGACCCCCAGACATTAAAAGCTAGGGTCATAATTATGAGCTAGACCCCCATCCTTGACATAAGAGAAGAGCGGATGTTGTTGGGGGAGGAATGTTGGTGAAGTTCCACCATGGTGTGATGGACCCTCCGCTGCCTGCTGAGGGTCACTTCAGTCACTGCCCAGAAGGCTTTGTGATTTTTTTTTTCCCAGGTGGGGCGTGGGCTCCATTGTAGAAGCAGCCAGCTCCCAGTGAACACTCATCTTCAAACAGCCTGCTCTCCCTTCCGACATAGGACCACAGGGGGTGGGCGAAGCCAGTGTCCCCTGAGGTCCTAAGGCCCTTTGAATGTGACAAGTCACCGTGGCTTGAGGACCATGCCTCGGCCATGGCCCTGGGGAGCGGAGCGAGAGCCCGAGCGGGGGGCTGGCAGGCAGGCTGCAGGGGGCCCTGGCTGGGGTGGAGGACGGTGTGGTCAGTCTGGGGCCCTGCTGGGTGTGGGGAGGGAGGTACTCACAGGTCAAACACCAGGAACATGAAGCTAGAAGACTCGTAGGAATCGATGAGAGTGACTGGGGAAAGAGGCAGAGAGGCAGGTGCCAGGGGGCGGCTATGGGTCACCGGGGCCTCTCCACCCGAGACGGCAGGGGCTGTGACTGGCAAGGAGGAGAAGCAGAGCAGGGAGGGGCAGGACCCAGAGGCTGACCACTGGGCCAGAGGAAGGGCGCAGAGGCGGGGTCGGGAGAGTGGGCTGTGGGCAGCGCCAGCAGGCGGCGGTGGGGGTGGGG